GGGGTGAGTTATCTTCTAGTGGGGTGATTTATCTGTTTGTGGGGTGAGTTATCTGTTAGTGAGATGAGTTATCTGTTAGTGGGGTGAGTTATCTGTTAGTGGGGTGAGTTATCTGTTAGTGGGGTGAGTTATCTGTTAGTGGGGTGAGTTGTCTGTGAGTTGGGTGAGTTATCTATTACTTGGGTGAGTTATCTATTACTTGGGTGAGTTATCTTCTAGTGGGGTGAGTTATCTGTTAGTGGGGTGAGTTATCTGTTAGTGGGGTGAGTTATCTGTGAGTTGGGTGAGTTATCTATTACTTGGGTGGGTTATCTATTACTTGGGTGAGTTATCTATTACTTGGGTGAGTTATCTGTTAGTGGGGTGAGTTATCTGTGAGTTGGGTGAGTTATCTATTACTTGGGTGAGTTATCTATTACTTGGGTGAGTTATCTGTTAGTGTGCTGAGTTATCTGTTAGTTGGATGAGTTATCTGTTACTGGGGTGAGTTATCTGTTACTTGGATGAGTTATCTGTTAGTGGGGTTAGTTATCTTTTAGTGGGGTGAGTTAGGTGAGTTTGTGAGTTATCTGTTAGTGGGGTGAGTTATCTTTTAGTGGGGTGAGTTAGTTAGATGAGTCTGTATAAGTGAGGTTAGTTATCATTTACTCAGGTAAAATATATGCAACTGTATTAAGTTATCTATTAATAAGCCATGTTATTGGGGTGATTTGTTTGTTATTGTGTTCAATTATCTATTAGTTAATTGAATTATCTATTAGTGGAGTGAATTATCTATTAGTGAAAAAGTTATCCATTATATATTTATAAAGTGATTAGTCTGTTGGTGAAATAAGTTATCTACATATTTACAAGAAAGATATGAAAGATAGCCTGAGAATATATTGATGACCAAAATAACATTTGTCAAACTATTTTATTCCACAAGGTAGTGTAGATATTTTATCTAAGCCTTTTCAAAAATACATGGTTACAAAATGTGTGTTTAAAAATACAACATAATCTTCCCAACCTATCAGTTTCAGACAAAAGAAATAACAGCTCTCTAGCCTATCTGACGGAGAGATAAACACCAACTCCCCAACCTATCTGACGGAGAGATAAACACCAACTCCCTAACCTATCTGACGGAGAGATAAACACCAACTCCCCAACCTATCTGACGGAGAGATAAACACCAACTCCCCAACCTATCTGACGGAGAGATAAACACCAACTCCCCAACCTATCTTGGTTAGACTCTTGACATCATCGGCTCTAATATATTAGACCTTAGTTGGTGTAGAGAACAGAGGTTTGAAAACCTTTAGAGCAATAGATCTACGTATTGTCCTACAGGTTGCAATATCAGCCTCTCTAACAAAGAAATACATATCTAAACCTATAGTCACTAAACTGAAAATATTCCTATCAAAGCCTTCAGTTTTGGTTGTCTATTGATATTTGAAAGCAAACGACCAAATATGTCGCTGGCAAAAGTTGACTTCCACTAGACGAATCCACCAAACATGGAGGGCGTTGAGAGCTCTACAGTGCTCAAATTCTCGTCTGTGATCAAATCTCACGAGATTACTCTCGGGGTAGCCTTCAGGCACAAAATAGGTCACTGACCTTGGAAAGTGAATGCCAGTGTCCAAGTGTCACTTACAGACCAGTGACCTGTTGCACGGACTGACAGGTGACAGGTGACAGGTAAAAAGGTTCCACCCACCTTGACCCCCCCTCCTCCACGATACTCAAACATAATACCATGATACATAACACCATGATACAAAACATGATACATAAGACCATAATACATAAGACCATGATACAAAACATGATACATAAGACCATAATACATAAGACCATGATACATAACACCATGATACAAAACATGATACATAAGACCATGATACATAAGACCATGATACATAAGACCATGATACAAAACATGATACATAAGACCATGATACATAAGACCATGATACATAAGACCATGATACATAAGACCATGATACATAAGACCATGATACATAAGACCATGATACAAAACATGATACATAAGACCATGATACATAAGACCATGATACATAAGACCATGATACATAAGACCATGATACATAAGACCATGATACATAAGACCATGATACAAAACATGATACATAAGACCATGATACATAAGACCATGATACATAACACCATGATACATAAGACCTTGATACATAAGACCATGATACATAAGACCATGATACATAAGACCATGATACATAAGACCATGATACATAAGACCATGATACAAAACATGATACATAAGACCATGATACATAAGACCATGATACATAAGACCATGATACATAAGACCATGATACATAAGACCATGATACAAAACATGATACATAAGACCATGATACATAACACCATGATACATAACACCATAATACATAAGACCATGATACATAACACCATGATACATAACACCATGATACATAAGACCATGATACATAACACCATGATACATAAGACCATGATACATAACACCATGATACATAAGACCATGATACAAAACATGATACATAAGACCATGATACATAAGACCATGATACATAAGACCATGATACATAACACCATGATACAAAACATGATACATAACACCATGATACATAACACCATGATACATAAGACCATGATACATAAGACCATGATACATAAGACCATGATACATAAGACCATGATACATAACACCATGATACATAAGACCATGATACATAAGACCATGATACATAACACCATGATACAAAACATGATACATAAGACCATGATACATAAGACCATGATACATAAGACCATGATACAAAACACCATGATACATAACACCTTGATACAAAACATGATACATAACACCATGATCATAAGACCATAATACATAAGACCATGATACATAAGACCATGATACATAAGACCATGATACATAAGACCATGATACATAAGACCATGATACATAAGACCATGATACATAACACCATGATACAAAACATGATACATAACACCATGATACATAAGACCATGATACATAGGACCATGATACATAGGACCATGATACATAACACCATGATACATAACACCATGATACATAAGACCATGATACATAAGACCATGATACATAACAATGATACATAACACCATCTATCTTCTATATATATAATTCTCTTCTTCGAGCCGTTAGAAAACAAGCTGCAAACGCTCTCCCTACCTCCCCACCCCTACATGGTTTTAGTGAGCTGTGTTCACTCTAAATGTTTACAAGCAGAGCCAACGATTTTAAACGTAGGGGGGGAGGGGGGGGGGAAGGAAGGGGGGGGGGGGGGGTTATGGTCCTTAACGAGCTACTTATAGTGTTTTAAAGAAATATTTTCAGTAGATTAGAAACAACTAAACAGCGGCGTATGTTATGCCGCGGGCCGGCTCGTGATACATAAGACAAGTGTTACTCAAAGCTTTTATTTAAATAAATAACCTTACCTTACTGGTGCACTAATGTTATGGTCATTTAATTAGGTCCATGAGATCAAGTCCACGTGATTAATTAGGTCCACAAGAATCAACTGAGCACAAAATAACACACTGATATAAATAAACTAGAATTGTAAGCAATTACATTCATTGTAATTCAGCTATGATCTCTCTCTTACGATTAAATATTATATATATATATATATATATATATATATATATATATATATATATATATATATATATATATATATATATATATATATATATTATATAACTCATAAGAACTACAACTATTGAAAAACTCGATTGATCTAATAAATAAAATGACCGGGAAATTACTTCTATTGATAGTTAACGTTCAAAGCAAAACGCAAAGAAATTTCCAATACTCTTTAGCTCTCCAATGAATGTCTGTATGTCAGTAGACTATCAGCGAATGACTATAGGTCTGTAGACTATCACCGACTATCTATACGACCGGCCTATCAACTGAATGAGACTGAGAAAAAAATATGAGCGCTGCTTGTGTCGATTAGACGGCCGCTGCTTGTGTCGATTAGACGGCCGCTGCTTGTGTCGATAGACGGCCGCTGCTTGTGTCGATAGACGGCCAGTGGCAGCCCCGTGATGCCCCGTGTGAGCGAGGAAAAAATTGTTCCCACCTTTCCGTCGTGCGCCCTCCTCTAACGTCTGCTGTAGATCTCGTCGATGACGTCACACAGGCGGGCAGCTGACCGGTCGGGCAAAGAGTCAAACATCAGTCAAACATCAGTCAAACATCAGTCAATCATCATTTAAACATCCAACATACATGAGTCCATTGGATACAATTATAATGTATAATTATTGATTTGGCTTCTCTTTAGTGTCAATATATAAATAACTGAATTTTTTGTGCTGTTGTGCTCTCAAATTTTCTCCTGGTAAAAAAAAACACTCTACTTCACCTGCCCTAGTGGCGCCATGAAAGAGGGCTGCGCACGTTGTGTGCGACATGAGGCGTCTTGCCTTACCTTCTATGTTGTGTGCGACATGAGAACAGAAGCGTCCTGCCTTACCTTCTATGTTGTATGCGACATGAGAACAGAAGCGTCCTGCCTTACCTTCTATGTTGTGTGCGACACGAGAACAGAGGCGTCATGCCTTACCTTCTATGTTGTGTAGCGATGCTGTCTACAGATTCTTTATTACGTGCAGTATTTTTCTTTACCCGCTGTATGTTTGTTGTTCCTTGTTTTATGCAATGTTCCCTGTAGATCTTGCTTTGAATATAGACGGACTTTCGATCGAAGAAAGATTAATTAAATCGTTGTCATGTAGTGGCAATAATTTGCTGGCAAACAAACTCTAGGGCTGTGGGGTTTATTAGAAGTCGATAAGACTGGCAATGAAAGCTTGTGTTTTGTTGCGCAGTGGGGAGGGAACATTGAAAGATCGGGAACATGATGACAGCAGCAGATTGAGACATCGGGAACATGATGACAGCAGATTAAGACATCGGGAACATGATGACAGCAGATTTAAGACATCGGGAACATGATGACAGCAGTAGATTGAGATATCGGGAACATGATGACAGCAGATTGAGACATCGGGAACATGATGACAGTAGTAGATTGAGACATCGGGAACATGATGACAGCAGATTGAGACATCGGGAACATGATGACAGCAGCAGATTAAGACATCGGAAACATGATGACAGTAGCAGATTAAGACATCGGGAACATGATGACAGCAGATTGAGACATCGGGAACATGATGACAGCAGATTAAGACATCGGGAACATGATGACAGCAGATTGAGACATCGGGAACATGATGACAGCAGATTGAGACATCGGGAACATGATGACAGCAGATTAAGACATCGGGAACATGATGACAGCAGATTGAGACATCGGGAACATGATGACAGCAGTAGATTAAGACATCGGGAACATGATGACAGCAGATTGAGACATCGGGAACATGATGACAGCAGTAGATTAAGACATCGGGAACATGATGACAGTAGATTGAGATATCGGGAACATGATGACAGCAGATTGAGACATCGGGAACATGATGACAGCAGATTGAGACATCGGGAACATGATGACAGCAGATTAAGACATCGGGAACATGATGACAGCAGATTGAGACATCGGGAACATAATGACAGCAAATTTAAGACATCGGGAACATGATGACAGCAGTAGATTAAGACATCGGGAACATGATGACAGCAGTAGATTAAGACATCGGGAACATGATGACAGTAGATTGAGATATCGGGAACATGATGACAGCAGATTGAGACATCGGGAACATGATGACAGCAGATTGAGACATCGGGAACATGATGACAGCAGATTGAGACATCGGAAACATGATGACAGCAGTAGATTAAGATATCGGGAACATGATGACAGTAGATTGAGATATCGGGAACATGATGACAGTAGATTGAGACATCGGGAACATGATGACAGCAGATTGAGACATCGGGAACATGATGACAGCAGATTGAGACATCGGAAACATGATGACAGCAGTAGATTGAGACATCGGGAACATGATGACAGTAGATTGAGATATCGGGAACATGATGACAGCAGATTGAGACATCGGGAACATGATGACAGCAGATTTAAGACATCGGGAACATGATGACAGCAGTAGATTAAGACATCGGGAACATGATGACAGCAGTAGATTAAGACATCGGGAACATGATGACAGTAGATTGAGATATCGGGAACATGATGACAGTAGATTGAGACATCGGGAACATGATGACAGCAGATTGAGACATCGGGAACATAATGACAGCAAATTTAAGACATCGGGAACATGATGACAGCAGTAGATTAAGACATCGGGAACATAACAGCAGCAGATTCATAATAAAACAACATCCCAAATTCAGCAAAGCCACTTCTGTTAAAAATAAAGAAGAAAAAATTGCGTTAACAAATGAAAGCATTTCTGCGGGGGGTTGGCTGCGGTTTATACAATACAATGGAAAAAAATAATTTCGGAGGGGCGGCACCAGGCATAGTTCGACTGGGCGCCCAGAGTTTACTCGTAGCTATATTAGCCCTTGTGATCCATTGGTTGTGTATCCTGCCCCCGGGGTCAGATGGTCTGATTCAACTGGTGCACCGGTCGGGTGACCCAGAGCTCCCCGTGTTTACCCATGAGCACTCTGGCGCCTACTTACGTTTTAAAGAGCCCTCTACACGACTGGACCACTGAACCAAACCAGGAAACAACCCGGCGACCCCGCCTGTCGTAGTGTAACCGGTGGCTCCCGACAGCGCCCCTAACACCCGGGTGGTCACGTGGGACGTTCTACCTCACCCTTGCGGAAACTCATTACTTTACACTGGAGGTCTCTTTCCTGCTGCAATATGCATCTGGTATTACAACGATAGCCATAAGTGGAGGGGGGGGGGTGCAATATGCATCTGGTATTACAACGATGGCCATAAGTGGAAGGGGGGGGTACAATATGCATCTGGTATTACATCGATAGCCATAAGTGGAGGGGGGGGGGGGTGCAATATGCATCTGGTATTACAACGATAGACATAAGTGGGGGGGGGGAGTCAAAAAATCGAGTCAAACGTCTAAAAATACATCATTGGTAACAATTGAACATTATCATAAAGAGCTTCATTGGATTTCTTTTCTTCTGAGATCGCAGCAACGTACGCGACGGGTACGCTAGTTTGAAATTAAAAACTCGGAATAACTTATTGTACGTAGAGCTAATTAATGAATGTGAGCAGTAGAAACCCATGATAAGAATTGGGAACATTTCAAGCTGGGTTTAAAATGTAGCCTAGTTACTTGAAATACATTATAGTTGGTTTATAGTTCTTTTACTATTGAAATAAATCGCACATAAATAGCAGTCGCCTGAATAACACATAGGGGAGCCGATCATTACTCTTGCCATGGAAGATATGTTTATCTATTTATTTATTTACTTTGTACATCATGTCGTTTGTGTAGCCTCCTGCTTATAAAAACTATTAGAATTAAATTAAGGTTTAGATTTTTTTGGACTTCGATAAACAAACTTCACTTGGCTATTTAATTAATCAAGACCACCATTACTTTGTGCTATAATTTTCTGGACAAGTTTTTGGTATGTGGCTTTTGAAAGTGTTTTTTTTTAGTTTTTAGTGCTTTACTGTGTTAATATAAAAAAAGTGGGATTGATCTTCCCTAAACTTTCTCGAATATTCTTATATAATACTACGGGGGATGGCAACTCGGGATATAGCCATGATTTTAAACCATTTTTAATTACTTTAACTTTTAAAAAATATAATAGCATATCGTAGAAAAAAAAGAATTGCACACCAAGTGAACGGCAAACAATGTATGTATAATAAGTGTTGAATATTAGTACTTTATGAATTCACATAAGTTTTTTTTTAAAATCGGAAATAGCGTAAAGTACAACTTCCGGTCAACGGAAATTACTCAAAATTTGACAGAAAGCAGATAATTAGAAGCGAAATTGCGTATATCTATCTGAAACAGTACTCAAGCTATAGGCTTTTAAAAAAAAAACTAGAATAAATTTCACTTCCGGTTACCGAAATCGCTGAAAAGTTGATACAGTACTACACATTTGATATAATACTTATATATGAAATTTCATCAAACTAGCTGTAACGGTACTCAAGTTATCGTGTTTACACACACACACATACACAAATACAATACATAGGCATACAGAGACATGCGGACAGAATTGCAAAACTAAGATTTTCCGACAAGGGAAGGTGTAAAACGACAAGATTTGTAAAAGTCTCGAATTCGATTTTTCCACGATTACAATACCACCTCTATACTTCGTATACGAGACAGTTTTAAAAATTGAGACTTCAGTGCGCATGTCGTATTTCTTTGTAAATTTTATTAGTGGGAGGATATGTAAGTCAGTGGGAGGATATGTGAGTCAGTGGGAGGATATGTGAGTCAGTGGGAGGATATGTGAGTCAGTGGGAGGATATGTGAGTCAGTGGGAGGATATGTGAGTCAGTGGGAGAATATGTGAGTCAGTGGGAGGATATGTGAGTCAGTGGGAGGATATGTGAGTCAGTGGGAGGATATGTGAGTCAGTGGGAGGATATGTGAGTCAGTGGGAGGATATGTGAGTCAGTGGGAGGATATGTGAGTCAGTGGGAGAATATGTGAGTCAGTGGGAGGATATGTGAGTCAGTGGGAGGATATGTGAGTCAGTGGGAGGATATGTGAGTCAGTGGGAGGATATGTGAGTCAGTGGGAGGAGAGTCAGTGGGAGGATATGTGAGTCAGTGGGAGGATATGTGAGACAGTGGGAGGAAATGTGAGTCAATGGGAGGATATGTGAGTCAGTGGGAGGATATTTGAGTCAGTGGGAGGATATGTGAGTCAGTGGGAGGATATGTGAGTCAGTGGGAGGATATGTGAGTCAGTGGGAGAATATGTGAGTCAGTGGGAGGATATGTGAGTCAGTGGGAGGATATGTGAGTCAGTGGGAGGATATGTGAGTCAGTGGGAGGAGAGTCAGTGGGAGGATATGTGAGTCAGTGGGAGGATATGTGAGACAGTGGGAGGAAATGTGAGTCAATGGGAGGATATGTGAGTCAGTGGGAGGATATTTGAGTCAGTGGGAGGAGAGTAAGTGGGAGGATAGTCAGTGGGAGGATATGTGAGTCAGTGGGAGGATATGTGAGTCAGTGGGAGGAGAGTCAGTGGGAGGATATGTGAGTCAGTGGGAGGATATGTGAGTCAGTGGGAGGATATGTGAGTCAGTTGGAGGAGAGTCAGTGGGAGGATATGTGAGTCAGTGGGAGGATATGTGAGTCAGTGGGAGGATATGTGAGTCAGTGGGAGGATATGTGAGTCAGTGGGAGGATATGTGAGTCAGTGGGAGGATATGTGAGTCAGTGGGAGGATATGTGAGTCAGTGGGAGGAGAGTCAGTGGGAGGATATGTGAGTCAGTGGGAGGATATGTGAGTCAGTGGGAGGATATGTGAGTCAGTGGGAGGAGAGTCAGTGGGAGGATATGTGAGTCAGTGGGAGGATATGTGAGTCAGTGGGAGGATATGTGAGTCAGTGGGAGGATATGTGAGTCAGTGGGAGAATATGTGAGTCAGTGGGAGGATATGTGAGTCAGTGGGAGGATATGTGAGTCAGTGGGAGGATATGTGAGTCAGTGGGCGGATATGTGAGTCAGTGGGAGGAGAGTCAGTGGGAGGATATGTGAGTCAGTGGGAGGATATACGAGTCAGTGGGAGAATATGTGAGTCAGTGGGAGGATATGTGAGTCAGTGGGAGGATATGTGAGTCAGTGGGAGGATATGTGAGTCAGTGAGAGGATATGTGAGTCAGTGGGAGGATATGTGAGTCAGTGGGAGGATATGTGAGTCAGTGGGAGGATATGTGAGACAGTGGGAGGAAATGTGAGTCAATGGGAGGATATGTGAGTCAGTGGGAGGATATTTGAGTCAGTGGGAGGATATGTGAGTCAGTGGGAGGATATGTGAGTCAGTGGGAGGATATGTGAGTCAGTGGGAGGATATGTGAGTCAGTGGGAGGATATGTGAGTCAGTGGGAGGATATGTGAGTCAGTGGGAGGATATGTGAGTCAGTGGGAGGATATGTGAGTCAGTGGGAGGAGAGTCAGTGGGAGGATATGTGAGTCAGTGGGAGGATATTTGAGTCAGTGGGAGGATATGTGAGTCAGTGGGAGGATATGTGAGTCAGTGGGAGGATATGTGAGTCAGTGGGAGGAGAGTCAGTGGGAGGATATGTGAGTCAGTGGGAGGATATGTGAGTAAGTGGGAGGATATGTGAGTAAGTGGGAGGATATGCGAGTCAGTGGGAGGATATGTGAGTCAGTGGGAGGATATGTGAGTCAGTGGGAGGATATGTGAGTCAGTGGGAGGATATGTGAGTCAGTGGGAGGATATGTGAGTCAGTGGGAGGATATGTGAGTCAGTGGGAGGATATGTGAGTCAGTGGGAGGATATGTGAGTCAGTGGGAGGAGAGTCAGTGGGAGGATATGTGATTCAGTGGGAGGATATGTGAGTAAGTGGGAGGATATGTGAGTAAGTGGGAGGATATGCGAGTCAGTGGGAGGATATGTGAGTCAGTGGGAGGAGAGTCAGTGGGAGGATATGTGAGTCAGTGGGAGGAGA